CAGAAAGTCGCGCATTGGTTGGATAGGAATTGACCTTCTTTAATAAGGGGATTCGTTCAGTTTTCAAAATTCTCATAGTGTGTAGCGGCAGGGCAGGTTGAGCAACGGGGAGGGGTTAGGCCGAATGAGCGTATGCGACGTTGATGTCAGCGGACTTCTCTGGATAGAATGAGGTTTAAGTGGAGTCAAGGAGATGCGAAAATATAGTCTTAACCCGTTGTCATTATACGCTATCCAATAAAGTGGCAAGAGAGCCCTTTTATAGTGGGCGGTCTGCTTGCACGCAATTTATATGGCAATTTGTTGACAGTACGATAACTCAGAGAACCGATATTTCCGACAGTGGCTCTGACGCAGTGGGTGCGCTTACAATAGCCCCGTTCACCAAAGCCTAGTTGGATCAACTCCATCAACAGTAACTGCTGTCTCCTTAGGTGATGTACCTTCGGCCCTTCTAGGTTACATGGCTTCGACTAGGATGCTCTGTGATAGAAATACTGCCAAATGCTTTAATGGGAAGCGGAGTCATGAGTGTCACTTTCACGCGCCATTCCAAGGGTCAATTACGCGAAACCGTGTGCTGCCCAGGCCCACCGAGATTTCTCCGGGATTTGGCTCTCTGACCGAGCGAACGTATGTGAGTATATAAACCAATACTTGTTGAAAACTGGTCCCACATTTCATTGCCTGGGCATTGCAAATGCCACAACGATTTGATGAAGTGGCCTTGCATGCGTACGATCAGGATGCCCGAATGTTTTATCTATCCATTAAATTGAGGATATTTTTATGACTGCTAACTCGGCAGGGAGGTTTCTTATCTAGTTTATACTACCTCATAGCAACTTTCCGTTTTATCCGCAGTTATATTCTGTGGCAGCCTTTATTTTTAACTTTTCAAGTACTCGGGTGCAACCTGAGCACCAGTTGGATCGTTTTTTTCGGTGTTTGAAGTTGTGTTCCTTCCATGTGCCGACACATGCAATAAAATGAATAAATATTTACTTCTAACTAATCGAAGACGGAAGTGGAGTATAGCAAGTGGCGCTGCTCCCGCGTGCGAGTGCGGGACAAATCCTGGGGGTGAAGTCGTTCTGGGCGCTTCACGCATTCGTATCCTGTCGAGACGGTAAATACGGTACAGACTGTCGGCAGAAACCTGACCTACTCGGCTGGCCCCCCAGTCCTTGTATGATGGAAACTGCATCAAATGTTATCACGATTACGAGTGAAGTCGCATGCTGGGATCTCAGAAATAAACTCACCAACACCCGATATTTTAATCCTGTACGCCAACTGATTAAGAATGCTGCAAGACTACAGTGGGGTGCTACACAGCGCTCGTTGTTTACGCAAAACGAAAAATAAATGTTCTATGTGACTTAGAAGAGAATACTTGTTCTGGAGGACTGTCAGAGTAGCAGCTCACATATCTAGGGCTCATAACCCTAGCCCAGGCTATAAGCAGCCCGATAGACCACATTGGGATAGCCAAGGTGACGGGGCTGTGTAAAGTGCGAGTTTTGCACGATTTGATGGACTATTTTAACAGGTGATTCAGCATCGAGCAAGCTGTTGCCAGATGGCGCTCCGATGACGATTGCAAATCGTTCGCCGGTCATTTCGCAAAACATCGCCGGTTGACCGCTGGCTCCGGGCAGCTGCATTATTGACGCGGTGGCTGAGGTGTGTGTGTATCGGGCTATCGGGCGTGTGTGTGTGGGCCGTCGAAAGTGCAACAGTGGTCGTCGTCGCGCTGTGCTTGGCGACGAGGCGAGCGGCGATACAGCGCGACAATCGCGGAGATCGTAGACGACCGATAGAGCGTGCCGGTCGCGGAGCCACCAAAGACGACGATGTCGCGCCGCGACGCAGTCGTCGCGCGACGCGGTCGCCACGCCATCGCAGCCTCGGCGACGACGAATTGATCGCGCGTCGTTCATTCCGCTGCCGCCGCCGCCACCGACGGCGTCGACGTCGCCGCCATCCGCGTCCCGCTTCTGAAGTGCTCCCCCTTCTGTCGAAGAGGCTCTCCATCTGGGTTCTCCCCCGACCGGTTGATGGTGCAGTCGCCAAGTGGTCGCTGTGGACCCTCGTCGTGGATGGTCGATATTTCGATGATCTACGGGCATAATCTTATCAGTGACGTCACGCACACTAATAAAACTTCATACAGAAACATTTTGAAGTGAATTCATCCTTTTCCTCCCATTCTTTAACGTTCCTATGCTTTTCTTTCGCATTTTCCTCCTTCTTTTCCCTTTTTGACAAGAATTTATCTTCCTCCTTCATTCTTCTACCTCTTCCATCCATGCTTTTTCATTCCTGGAAGTGCCGCTTAGCCGTTTCATTCCGTTTTCCTCGCTCACTCTAAGCCGTTGAGGTTCTTATCAGTCAGTGGCTGGGTGCAAAGTCAATTTTGGGCCAATTTTTAGAGAATAACAGCGACATTCAAAATAGACTGCCCGTTTTTCATCAAGTCAATTTTTGTGACTTCTTAAGCGCTTGAGGGTTATACAGCCAGAAAAAACTTTAAAAAGGATAAAAGAGCATATGCTCTCAGAAAGCGAGAGTGTCGAGTGTTGGCCAAGCTCTTCTGGTTTATTTGGTCCAAGGCCGTAGGTCAGATTCCTCTACTTTTTTCTAGATAAGTCTACAAAATTTTGCCTATTTTTATTGATCCAGATGCTACAAGCTAAAGCGTCGGCGCCTTGGTGATGTAATCAGTAGCACAAGTACCGGAAAGCGGGTTCAGTTCCCGCCTGGGGCGAAAGTTTTGTCCATATTTCAAGTATTCTCTTGAAACAATCTCTCAACTGTTTCTGACCAATAGTAACTCGGCGATTTACGTAGATCATGACCAATTAGCTCAACTCTGATTGGTCGGTCGTTTCAGAATTATTCAATCCGAGAAACAAAATGGCTCAATGGACGGATCCATCACGGACGTTCTCATTCAAGAGGTTCGAGGACGTCGGGTTAGTCGTCTTTAAAGACTGCCGTTGCCATGTGGTTTTTCTCGCCTTCGTGCGCACTTTCACCCTCATCCCTGATAAGATTAATGCACTGATAAGAGTTCAGCGGTTTTCGCCGCCTTTGTGGAAAGGGCGTTGGAAATCGCTCGAAAAGGCCACGCGATTCAAAGAGAATAGCTGAGAGCTTTAAAATGTAAAAGGTTTTTAAATAAAGTAGTTTTTAGGTGCTGTGGGACACCACCGTGAACGACTCGAATATCAAAAGTGCTAAAGTCGGCAGCTTTCGCTGAAATCGCTAACGTGATGAACGACGCGTTCCGTCAAGCACAAAGTACACAGGTGAGTGCGCTCGCTGCTTCCCACGCGAGCAGGTCCGCGCCCCTTACCACTGCCCCGCCCTCTACGTCTGCTGGCCATTTCGGAAATCGAGCCTAAATCTGTTGCTCGGTTTTTCTTTCCTTTCCTCTCTGCTAGCTTCGGGCTCTACGAAGAGGCATTTATCTTCCCTTCAATCGATCGATTATTTGATTTCGACAGTTTTTATGGGATATATGGAGGGGGAAATTTCGCTTTTGATTATTTGAATTGATATTTTTTACGGTTTTATGTAAGTTCAGTTCGGCTAAGAGCATGGCCAACCCCAATTCCCTGTTTCCTGTACTTCCGATCATTATTGATTTTTTAAAATCCCTACACTCAATATTGCCTCAAGTTTTACACTTTTTACCAAATCTACGATTCAATTATTTTTCTAACCATGCCCAACTTGCAAAAAAAAATGTACTTTCTAATGAAAACAGTGCATTCAAAATTCCACTCAGGTTTTCTCTTCTCGGTTTTATTTCTTTCATACAGTTTTCCACTTTTTAGGTTTTGGGACTGGGGTAATGCAGCTATGAACTGATAATTTTCACTTTGAATTTGATAATCAAATTTTATTGTTTGGTTTTTACTTCTTTTCATTATATCTATTGATATTTATTATGCTTTATTTAGTTAATATTATTTAACTTCATTTGATTATTAATTTATTATTATTTATACATTTTAGAAAAATTTGAAATATTTGTGCTGCGCAATTTATATATTGTGATAAGGGTCCCCGAGGGACATCGTCATCATGTTTTTCTTGAATAAGTTCGCCAAAATCCAAAAAAAATCCTTTGCCAGTCAATGAATGACCAGCTGGTCTCCGTGGAGCACAAAAGAACACCCAAATGCAAGCATAAGTTTTCGAACGCGGCGTGGTGTCGAGCTCGCGAGAAAAACCGCAACATTGCCCGACTGAAATTGCTGCGTTCGATGACTAAACTACTCGTATCAAACGAATAATCGATTATTGATGATTTCATTTGATTCTCGACGCAGAAGGAATTGATAAGAGAAGATGTAGGAAGAGGTTCAAACTGATATGATGTTCATGCAGTCAATAATTTGCATATTTATGCACACGGTTCACAAGTTTTGCTAAACTAGATGTATTGGTTGATTGGCTTGCAATTTTCAGGCCGAAAGACATCCGATCGCAACTGGAGAATCTCAGGGACACTTTTGTGCGGAAGTCTGCGATTGGTTTTCGAGGGAGTGGGTTTCATTTCCAAGCTATGATTAACCTTTAATCCAGCAAAAGAGCCATTGGAACACGCGCGGTCTCGCGTCGCGTCAAGAAGCTCAATTGATGCAAATAGGGCAGAGTGTAGAATTTCTGAGTCATACAAAAATTGATTTTGTCTTGCTTGTTTTTTTGACCCGTGGTACCGTTACAACACTACCAATTAGCTCAGAGACAAAATGTAGAGGATGAACAGAGCGCGTTATCACGCTTCTACTTTTGGTGGGGTATGGCTAACATTTCAAAATATTTTTGGACGCAACGCGACCGCGCGCGTGCTCCGCCCATCCTCTCGGCAGGATATGAGGAGAGATTCGTTTCAGAATGACTAACTCGACAATTTTCTTCAAAGAATTTCCTTGTTCAGATACACTGACGATCCCCTCAAGGAACCAACCTGGAAGTTCTATCGGATGTTGTCGTTTTTGGACGATAAAGAGTCTAAACGGCTCGCTAGCGAACATCCAATATTCGACATCGCGGCTCTCCAAAGAGACCATGGGTAAATGGAGTTTTCCTTTCACCTGAATCGAATTCTATCTCGATTTTCATAGTTTTAGGCTGGATCTAGTGAAAAGTGAGCTCCAACATATTCATTATGATGGCAGTAACCAAAGTGCTGCGTCCAGTGAAGAACAGATGCTTTCCCTGTTCGCACAGGTGGGAGTGAGTGACTACCAAATTACACTAGTACTACTATTTTTCTACCTTAGGTTTGCATAAATGAACTACTTTAGTCCTACTCGAGCACAGAGAAGCCTCCCGCACAGCTCGACTCACCGCCATCACCCGCTTTGCCACCGGTGTCCAGCGCAGACGCCACAGCTGCAGATAACATAGGGACGAAGAGTAACGCTGCCTATACGCATTCCATGGACGAGGAGGAGGAACCGAGACGGAAGCGGGTGAGTGGGACGTCAGTCACAAGTGTATTTTCCCGTGCACAGTCGCCAGATGTCCCCCACAGCCACAGAAACCTTCTGGGGCTGCTTGTGCACTGTTTTTTTAAGATGTCAAGGAATAGGATCGAAGTGGGCGTGGCTATACCTTGTGGGCGGAACCGCGTACCCAAGCCACGGAGGATGAGTTGTTGCGCCCACGTGCGCAAACAGCAAATTTGGTCATAAAATGCCATCGACCGTGCATGGCGAAAGGTTGGGTGGCCCAGGTACCCGGGCGCCCATGTCATCGTTTTCTGATCGCGCAATGAGTTCTATTGACTAAGGTTTGTTGAAGGGCGGGGAGAGCCGGGGGTAGTGCTCATCAGGACGAAGGAATGGTCAGCGTTCATAGTCGAGTGTGAAGGGACGATAGTAAGCAGCGAGCGTAAAAAAATACAAAGGAACATTCCATTCCTCCCGTGGATGCGCCAAACATTTTGCATCCCTTCGAAATTGCGCTCAATTTTGAATTCGGCTTGATCTTAAGGGTGACCTGTGGTGAAAGGGTGACCATCAAATGGACGAGAGTGGTACCAGACGGCCAGAAAAGGGTGAAATTCTTGGAGGGGCTGGGCGGGGACAGTTCCGGAGTTGATTTCCGAACCATTCGTGTTTCAACGGGCGCTACATTTCACCCCTTCATCTAATAGTTCCTAAGAATAGTGGCGACCGGCCGCGTGATTTTTCCAATCTACACAAACTCACTATTTCCTAGCGCAAGAACTCGTCCGGAAGGGGTGGAGCATCCCAAAGCGTCACACACCTGTTTTCATTGATCCTTTTTGCGCAATAGGCGATACGTAGCCCAAAGGCATAAGCCCGAGTGCAATGAATGTCCTGCGCGATTTGAGTGACCTTTTTCCATATCTGCGCCAAAATTACTCTTTCTAGAGGTAGACCGAAGCTGCTGAATTAATCGTTTATACTCGCTCAGTTTCAGCCATACCATCGCCGGCACGCCCTCACCTCTCAACCTCAACAACAAGACGAGTTTGAGCTGTTTGGAGCCATAGTTGCAGCTCAACTGCGCAGGTATGCACTCAGGCCATTCGTCACGCTTCTATTAGACTCTTTTTGTATCATAATTTTTGAATTATTTTGAAAACACTTACCATTTTAGGGTTTCGGACGATTTTTCGCGTGCCGCCTCGCTGCGACTACAAAAGAAACTGAACGATGTGATATTTGAGTCACAAATGGAATTGCTGGAAAACGGGAACTAGCACAAATAATCGTTGATGATCAATATCAATCAATGTGTATATTATGTGTAGATGCTTAGATCAGTTT